CCATCACCCTTGCGCCGGTTTTCAAATGTTGCTTTTCGGGAAATTTTATATTCAATTTGGTTGTTTCTTTTCATTTTTTTTTTTTTTTTTTTTTTTTTTTTTTTTTTTCCATAAAGGGAACACAGGAAAAGCACCGGCTGACAGATGTAGATGTACTCTTTGGGTGTAATCTTTTTCGAAATGTGCCACGCTCTGCCGACGGGTATGGAGCGAGACCAGACACTACGAGCGATTAGAGAGAAGAACCACACGCTTCCATCAACATTTCAATACTCTGAAAAGGTCGTACAGGGCAGGATTATCGAGTCTCTTTTGAGTCACAGTCCTAGCGAACGGCCCTCGGCGTCGGAGCTTCTTCACAGCGGTCAAATCCCTCTGCAGGTGGAGGAGGAAACCTTTCGACGAGCGATCATGCACCTGCTGTCGGACCCTAACTCTCCCGATTACAAGAAAATTCTATCGGCAATATTCTCCCAGTCCCCCAAGAAGTTTGAAGACATTGCCTGGGATATGGATTCCCATGGGGCGCCAGCTGCTAATGAGCTTCTCATCCACGGTCTGGTCAAAGAGAGACTTACGTCGATCTTCCGAAGACACGGGGCCGTCGAAAATGCGAGACAGATGCTGTTCCCCAGATCACAACATTACAACAATGGTGCCGTGCGACTGCTGGATTCTACCGGTAACTTGCTCCAACTGCCGTTTGATCTGACACTTCCCAATGCGCGTGCGATTCCTCGGCAAGATGCTTCACTTGAAAAGACGTTCGCGTTCGGTACGGTATACAGGGAGACACCGCATGGCGGTGAACCTCGAACCCACAGAGAGGTGGACTTTGATATTGTGTCACATAACACTCTTGATCTGGCCCTGAAGGAAGCCGAGACCATCAAAGTCCTCGACGAGATCATCGACGATTTCCCGCCGCTGAGATCGGCTCCTATGTGCTTCCTGGTCAATCATTCCGATCTGCTCCAGTTGATCATGGAGTTTTGCCGCATCACGCCATCCAAGATTCCCTTGGCGAAAGAGGTGATTAGCAAATTAAACGTTGGAAAGTGGACAATGTCGAAGATCCGCAGTGAGCTCCGGTCTCCGGCCATCGGTATCGCTTCAACCTCGTTGGACGATCTGGCGAGATTCGATTTCAAAGGTCTGTCTCCATCTGTCGAGTAAGCTGATCTCGGGACTAACATGTGACAGATTCTCCAAAGCAAACACAGAAGCGACTGCGCACCATCATGGAGGGTACCCCATATGCCGAACGGCTGGCACCTATCTTTGTCCGGCTGAACCTACTCCTGACTTATCTTCAGGCGTTTGACGTAAAGCGCAAGGTTTATATCAACCCTCTTGGAAGCTTGAACGACAAATTCTTCCGAGGTAGCATTCTGTTCCAGTGTGTTTTCGACAGCAAACGCCGGGATGTCTTCGCAGCCGGCGGTCGATATGACTCCCTGGTGAAAGAATTTCGTCCCAAGGTCCTAACAAGCCGCTCGCACACACATGCTGTTGGGTTCAATCTAAGCTGGGATAAGCTCAACTCAGTCATGCTCGACTATTTTCGTGGTTCTACCAAGAGTTCTCCCAAGCAAACAGAGACTGAAATCGGGGCTTTTTGGCGAGCCAGAAGAGTGAGTAGAACGTGTCCCTCTCTCCGTCGGCATTTTCTTTGGCTAATGAACAATAGTGCGATGTACTTGTTGCTAGCTTCGACGCGACTGTTCTGCGCACGCTTGGCGTGAAGATCGCGCAGGATCTCTGGGCGGCTGACGTCAGTGCAGAGATCGCGATTGACGCTTCCTCGCTAGAGGAGCTCCTCGCTCAGTACAAGGAGCATAACCATAGCTGGATCGTCATTGTAAAGCAAGACAGCCAGGAGCGAGGCTTCAAGATCCGATGTCTTGAACCCAAGGAGGAACTTGATGTGAGGGGTGCCGAGCTCATTCCCTGGCTTCGCAACGAAATCCGGGCACGCAATCAGCGTGAAGGCGTCACGGACTCGTTCCGACAATCCCGACTGTCCAGCCAACCTGATCTCAATGGGCCGAGTGAGCGAGTGAACGATGTGCGCATCTTGGTGCCCCAGCATCGCAGCAAGAAGTCCAACCGAAGGAACATTGTCGAAACGGGTAATATCAAATTCTCTAGTAGCACACGAGTATCTTACTCACGTACTTATAGCTCTATTCCGCTCCCGAGAAGTCATCGAAGATGCCTTGAACGGACCTATCGCGGCCATCGACACTCGGGATGACCTCCTGGACGCCATCCGAGATACACGGCTATCGGACCCGGACAGCTGGCGTGCAGTTATACAGAATGCACCGCTGACCGAACGAAAGTACCTGAGTCAGGTCCACGAATTACTCATAGACATCGCCAATGAGAGCCACATGGGTGACGGCGCGGACGACTTCACCAATGCGTTCATATATAACTATCGCACGGGATCATGTGTGTACTACGATCTGGGAACACGAAATGAGAGATGAAGATGAAAACGACGAATGTGTCATATGTCATGTCATGCATTTCCTTACTGTTATTCTTTGAAGCTTTACATCTTGGTTTACATTAACGTAGGTGGATATTTATATTCTCCTCTCTGTTTGATATTTTGTTCATAGCGAATTATACCCATGCTCATTCTATGCAAACCAGCAACCTGTAAGAAAAGAAACGTAGGCAAGATTCCCAAGGTATCGCTGCTATTATACATCATAAAAAGAAAAACCGCAATCCTCTACAGCCCCCCTAGTCGCTGTCATCATCACTACCATAGCCCACTAGAGGGCCCGACGCCTGAGGAGCCGGCTTTGTCGTGACATTTCCTCCAGAGAGCCCCCTTAACGCCGCCACCGTCGAGCTGGAGAAAATCCCACCGCCCGTCGATTCCTGCGTCGGGACTTCCTGAGCAGCCGCAGCCTCAATCATCAGCGACTGATCAGGCGCCTCCAACTGGCCGGCCCCAGCTCTCCCCGCATCCTCCAGCTGCTTCGTCCTCGTATACCACACCTCATCAGGGGCATCATACCCCTGCAATCCAAAGCTCCCCTCAATCTTCTTCCTCTTCCTCGCCTCGGGATCCTTCCCTTCCAACTCCGCCACAAAATCCGCCGGCAACGCCCTCCTCACCGCCTCAGCAGCCTGCTCCTCCAGTCTCCGCGCCTCACGCTTCTGCGCCAGCGGGTTCGGATCGGCCGTCGCCCAGCGCACGTTCAAGATCTCGCTATGATCCAAAGACTGGTGGGCCATGGCCTCCTTGCCGAACTCGGCATTCGCGACGTTCGAGTACGTGATGAACGCGACGCCCCGCGAGGTCAGGACCCGGATGCGCTCGATCTGGCCCCATTCGGCGAAATGGCGAGACACCACTTCTTCGATGTCGTCGGTGACGTGGATTCGGCCGACGTAGAGCGTGCGGTTCTGTCGCATGAAGGAACCCACGCCGCCCATGTCGTCGCGGTAGTCGCTGAATTTGTCGCGGCCGAAGCAGTCGACGTTGGGGTTGAAGAGGTCGTGTAGGGTTGGGAGGCGGTGGAGGTATTCGCATTCGTGACCTTTGTGACTGTTTCAGTATGAACGTATTAGCCTTGCCAGGTCAAGAAGAGGGCTGGACTCCCTTCAATATAGAAAGAGATGAGAATGAGCTAGGAATATAGATAGAGATTCAAACATACCAGATACCGCGCGCAAAGAACAAACAGAAATACGACCCAGGCACCTTATCCGCCCTCGTATATCCACTATCCTTAGCGACGTTGCAACGCGACGGCGCCGCATGTTTCGACAATAACGAGTCCTCGCGGTCGCCGCCAGACCATTTATTATACCAGATGTTGAACGTCGTTCCAGTCTGTGGCGGCGGCTCGGATTTGATGGTCGCCGGGTCGATCTGGGGCCGGGCAGGTCGGCGCTTTCGTCGGATGATCTTTTTGGTCTTCTTTTGGCCGTCGGCTTCGACGAGGGCTGTTTCGTCGCCGCCGCCGGCGACTGTGAGGGCGGTTTCGATTTCGGATTCATTGGTGGGAGGGAGGACGGATTCTGTAGGGGGGGATTGTTGTTGCTCCGTGGAGCTGACGAATTCTGTGTCGGCCATTTTGTGTGTGTATGTGTTTAAGTGAAAGGGATCGCTTGTGGACAAGCAAGATTAGAGGAAGAATGGCGGAGGATAAAGAAAGCGAAAGTTGAAGACGAGAGAAGTTCGGGCGGAGATTACGTAAGGCTTGGCATCGCGACGAATTTGATAGCAGAGGATGTTCCCCGGACTTGGTTGGCGTTGCTCACCACTCGTGGACTTGCATCTTTTTCATTTGCCAGAGGGACTTTTTTTTTGCTTTCTTGCTGTTTCCTTCGGTCTTTTGTTCTTGGACCATTGTCCCCCTTCGGTGTCGCATACGTTCCAAGTTGTCTGCTGGCAGTTGGGTCCGCGGGGCTCTTTTTAACCGTCAAAATGGTGAACATCACGGAGAAGATTAAGGAGTATGTTCAGGGCTCTGGTTTGATCGTGGAGACAATGGATTTGAATTTGGCTCTAACACCTTCGTCAGGATTGAGGATGAGATGCGCAGGACGCAGAGTAAGTCACGATCACACCGAATAGCTTCCAACGATGACCCCGCAGCTAGCTAACTGATAAAACAGAGAACAAGGCCACAGGTGCGGAACCAACCTCTTTCCTTTGAACATTAACACAGACATCCTGACACTTACTCTCCAGAGTACCATCTTGGTCTGTTGAAGGGGTAAGCCCACACCCTCCCATCCAATCCTCAATCCCAACCCAATCCAAACATACTAACCCCACCTTTCTCTTTGTTCTCCAGAAAACTCGCCCGACTACGAGCCCAACTACTAGAGCCCACGGGCGGATCCGGCGGCGGCGGCGCAGGTTTCGACGTCAGCAAGAGCGGTGATGCGCGAGTCGCGCTGGTCGGTTTCCCATCGGTCGGTAAATCGACGTTCCTGAGCAAGATCACCAAGACGAGGAGTGAGGCCGCCGCTTACTCTTTTACCACGCTCACGGCTATCCCGGGTGTGTTGGAGTATGGGGGTGCTGAGATCCAGATTCTCGATCTGCCGGGTATCATTGAGGGAGCCGCGGAGGGTAAGGGTCGAGGACGACAGGTGATTTCGGCGGCGAAGGTTTGTCTCCTCCTTCTCAGACCTATGGAATCCATATGTTGGCTAATGGACATGGATATAGACCAGTGATTTAATTCTCATGGTCCTGGACGCTACCAAGAAGGCCGAACAACGGGCATTGCTGGAGGCGGAATTGGATGCCGTTGGAATCAGATTGAACAAGGAACCTCCGTACGTTGATGCTGCATCTTGTTCACCCTCGATTTCAATCAATGCTAACCACCACGCAGGAACATCTACCTGAAAGCCAAAAAGGCCGGAGGAATGAAAATCACGTTCCAGACTCCACCCAAGTACCTGGACGAGAAGATGCTCTATAACGTGCTGCGTGACTATAAGATCCTGAACTGTGAGGTTCTGGTGCGAGATGAATACGGTAGGACAATCGCGTCCTGAACACCTGTGAATCAAAATACTGACCAATTCAACTAAAAGCGACAATCGACGACTTCATCGACGTGATCATGAAGGACCATAGAAAGTACATCCGATGGTAAGGTTGCCCTCTACACATCGATATTTATCGACCTAGCTAGATCTAGCACATACACTAATGCACTGAAACAAACAGCCTCTACGTATACAACAAGATCGACAGCGTCAGCCTCGACTTCCTGGACCAACTAGCCCGTGAACCGTACACGGCTGTGATGAGTTGCGAGCTGGACCTGGGCGTACAAGAGGTTGTTGATCGAGTGTGGAAGGAATTGCGATTGGTTCGGGTTTATACGAAACGGTACGTCCCTCCCCTGCACCCCTGCCTCTTGTCTTTCAATTCTCTATCTACCTTATGTTCTCTTTTGTCTACATCTTCACATAAACCGCATATATACATGAACAGAATGATACTAACACCCCTCCAGAAAAGGCGAAGAGCCCGATTTCTCGGAAGCCCTGATCGTGCGATACCAGTCGACCATCGAAGACGTGTGCGACCAGGTACACCGCACGCTGAAGGAGACGTTCAAGTATGCGATGGTGTGGGGTGCGAGTGCAAGACACGTTCCGCAACGGGTGGGATTGTCGCATGTTATTGCTGATGAGGATGTGGTTTCGATTGTTGCGAAATAGAGATAAAGAGATAAAGGCGGGCGGTCTATTATTAGACTACGGATGTCAAGGACAGCTAGTCAACTTTATTGAAAATAAGAACGATATTGAGTAATGGTTCATTTCTGAGAGATAGTCTTTTCTACAGATCCTTGGATACTTGTAAAAAGGGTGAAGGGAGGTGAGTGCTACGCAAAGTGTAAATTGAATTGAAGAATATATTCATTCATGACTATAGTCAATTTTAAATGTACGAAACCCTTTTACCGAACTCGAACAAATCCCAGCCTAAAACCGAAGGAAACCCGGACGCCATGTACACAATGAATCTCCTGAAAGCTTTTGTTTAAGCAGCAGAAGCGGCGGCGGCACCGGTGGCAGCGGTGGCAGCAACGTTCTGCATGCCAATGGTGGGCTGCACACCAACACGCTCCTTAGCCAGCAAATCAACCAGCAGAGGGCTGGGAGTGGTCTCCCGGGTGGGGTGGAAAGCCAGCTGGCTGTTCTTGTACTTGATGACGCTGTCCAGATAGATGTCAAAGAGGTACGAGGAATCCAGAGGGCCTCCCTTGGCCTCGGGGTGGAACTGGGTGCTGAAGATGGGGCGAGTCTTGTGGATCATACCTGGTTGTCATTAGCATGAATTCATTATGAGATCAATGGGCAAAAGATACTCACCCTCGTTACTCGAGTCGTTCAGGTTGACGAAGTAGGGCTTCCAGTCGGAGGGCAGGGTGGAAGCATCAACGGCATAACCGTGGTTCTGGCTGGTGATGTGGCAGCGGCCGGTGCTCAGATCCAAAGCGGGGATGTTGTGGGCACGGTTTCCGTACTTCATCTTGATGGTACGGGCACCGGCAGCCAGAGCCAGCAACTGGTGACCCAAGCAGATACCGAAGATGGGCACCTGAGAGGTTTCCATTAAGCGACCCAGGTGGTAGGTAGTCGCCTGGCAGTGAGTGGGGTCACCAGGGCCGTTGGAGATGAAGACGCCGTCGAAGTGGTGGGCGACCTTGTGGATAGGGTAGTCAAAGGGGAAGACGGTGACGCTGGCGCCACGACTGACCAAGCTCCGCAGGATGTTCTCCTTAACACCGCAGTCCAGAACGGCAACGTGGCACTGGGGGTCGGCGGCAGGCACGTGGAAGGGGGCCTTTGTGCTAACCTGGCGGACCAGATGGATCTGCTCCGGGTCGACGAAAGCCTCGTCTTGATCGGCATCGTACTCCTCACCCACGGTGATACGGGCCAGAGAGGAACCCTGCTCACGAAGGTAGGTGACGATGGCACGAGTGTCGACACCCGAGATAGCAGGCACACCCTCCCGAATGCACCACTCGCCCAGACTCTGGACGGCGGTCCAGTGGCTGTACTGCTCAGCAACGTCGGCCACCACAACACCAGCGGCCTGGAGGTTGGGGGACTCGAAGTACTTGAGCAGACCGCTCTTGTCCTTCTCCGCGGAGGGGACGCCGTAGTTTCCGATCAAGGGCTGGGTGAAGACCAGGATCTGTCCACGGTAGGACGGGTCGGTCAGAGACTCGGGGTATCCGACCAGAGAGGTGGTGAAGACGGCTTCTCCGGAGATGTTGGAACGAGCACCGAAGGACTTGCCGTGGAAGATAGGACCATCTCGGATCGTAAAGGTTGCGCGTTCAGGAACGGCACGCTGTTGACGCACCGTTGCCATAAACCGAGACTGGATAGAGGCATTCACGGAAGGGAAGGCAGAGGCCCGGGCGGGCATAGCCTTGAAGAGTCGAGCGAACATAGTGAGATAGATTTAGAAGCGTGACGAGAAAGAAGCGGTAGTGGATGTTGAGTTCAGTAGTTTCCGGAAGCCTTCCAGATTTGATCCGAGATGTAGTCCTGTAAGAGATAAAGTTAGTCATAATGATACAAGGTTTACTGGACGTCAATTGAGCTTTTGTCCACGCTGGGGACGGTATGACATCGGTGGTGGCATGGGCAACTTTACCTGAGAAGTGAAGATGGAATGCAAACGCATAAGCGCGACTGTGGGATTGCCAGTCACTGAAATAGATAAAGGGGGAGAGAAAGTAATTTAAATTAACATGAAGACGAGTCGATGCAAGTCTGGTGTCAGAAGTGTGAGTTGAGATGAGTGAGTCAAGAACGGACGGGGGAAGGAAGAAGGAGAAAGAAGAGAAAAAGCGAGTCGAGGCGGTCAGGAGATTTAATTAAAATTTAATGCAGGAAAAGGGCAAAGTGCGATGGTCGGCCCGACTAAGGGTCACGTGGTCGCGTTCACCGACTACTGGGGGCGGCAGCCAATGATCTCGCGGGATTCGGCTGCGGGATCGGCGGTGTTTGTCTGCTTTGTCTGGATTTGTCCTATCAGGGCAGGATTAATTCCCATTTGCCATTATTCATCACTAATTGCCCGTCTATCGGGACGCTATCGATGACTCCCTTCAACTGCCTCTTTGGAGTATGGAGTACGGAGCACTGTAGAGCGAACCGACCCTCTTCTCTCTTCTCTCTTCTTTACGGAGTATTTTCCTTTCTCACCCTCCCCTCATCCCATTCTTGTCGACTCTCGATTGGAATGATTGCGAATCTGCCCGTCGACGTTGCAGCATGTCGACGCTGCAAGGAGCCTGGCTGATCTCCTCTCCGTCCTGCTGATCTCGTCTCGCTTGTTCGATGAATGATGCTCGCTCTCAATATGTGTTTGTCACAGAAATCCATACCCACCGCCACTTGCCCTGTAGCGTCGACGGGCGCCCCGTCCGACCCAAACTTGGGGCCCCCTGGGTAACTCAAGGAGGCGCTTATTTTTATTTCCATGCGAGCAGTTCAGGCCTTGCTTGAGCCTTGTCTCTCGGAATCATGTACTCTGTACGATACTTATAATTTGATGCCGCCCATATGCGGTGCTAGGTACAGCTCCAGACCCGCATTGTCCCAGCTCAGCCCCGATTCCGAACGGCATGAGATTTAATATAAAGGCTTTCCGGTCTAGACGGCATTCGGCGCGGACAGTTGGGAGTTGGGAACCCTGCTCCACAGTGACCTCACGGCAGTGGATGCAGATGGATGATCTAGCTTGCCTTCAGGGCGTCACCACGAACCGAACTCCAGCCGATGATAACTCTCCTTTGTCGGGATCAATTGACTCGGGCTCGTTGAGAGCTTGGAATGCCGCTTGAAATGATTTCCTCCGGCATTCAGGAACAACTGGCACATTGCTGTTATGCAGTCTGCAGAATCCGGTCGCACGCAATCACCGCAGTACCGTCAGCATCATGCATTGTGGCCTAGCAGGTGACCGATTTGCCTTGCTGAGATTGATGATCTACAGGGCAAAGCATGAGCTCATTTCTGTCGAGAATATTATGACATAGGATCGAATGTGGACTGCTGGCTAGGGTATATGACGCGTAACTGATGGGTTGTCCGTCCCTTGCAGCACTCACGCGTAGTCCGATAGATATTATTATCGATAGCTCTATCATATATCATCATTGTGTCCGCTGTCCGCAGTAGATAACAGATAGGAAGATAACCAAGTATGTAACTATTCTGGTGAATGTGAGTCAGTAAGCATAGAAGGGAGCTGTTGCGCTTAGCCCAATCGGGAATGGAACCCCGTGCCTGGTCTCAGTCCCCCAAAGGAGGAAGAGCTGACTCCTCCGTACTACTCTGACTGCTCTGACTACTCCGCCCGGGTCTGAATGGCTTCACATCTGATAAGACCCGCCCCCTTCCATCCAGAACACGCGATGCTCTAGACCATGACCGATCACCAGGAGCCCGCTCGGAAGCGCTCCCGAGTCGCCTGCGTGTCATGTCAATCGCGCAAACGTAAATGCTCCGGCGACCAGCCATGCACCACCTGCTGCCAATTCGGCGTCGACTGCCATTATGATTTGTTGTCGCGCAAGAAAAAGGACGTCAGATCGTTCCGACCACCGTCAGGCTCGGGTAGCATTCTGGATGAAACGATTGCCTCCAAGCCTCAGGACCAGGCCCAGGCCCCAGCGGTCCCTGGAGTTGATCTCAGCTCGCTGGAAGCCAATTCCGGCGCGGCCTTCGTGCGGAGATTAGGACTGAAGATCGACCCGGCCAATGCGCCCCGACTTCATATGTTTGCCTGGAACGTCGGGGCGCGCCATCCGCCGCCACCGTCGATGCCTCCCTCGTCATCGCCTGTGGCGGTCCCCGTGACGGAAACGCTATCCCAGGATGAGATGCGAGCTCTAGTGGCCACCTTCTTCGAGAAGGTCGATCCGTGCTACGGGTTTCTCGATCGCGACAGCATCCTCCGGCAAGTGAGTTGCCGATGGCTGCCTCCGTCCCACGAGTCCGCCTTGCCCTATGGACCGTACGATGCGGTGCTCTGCGGCGTCGCAGCGTTCGGCTACCTCTTCTCCCGCCGCCAGGCCGTTCCCGCAGAGCTGCAGCTGGTTGACACCGCGCGGCTCATCCTTGAGCACCATCTTCTCTCGGAGACCTCGTCCGTTGAGATCGTCACCGGCATGGTGCTCCGCGTCGGCTACCTGCGCATGACCGCCACGCCACACGCCGCCTGGATGGCCAGCTGCTCTCTCATGCACCTCGTCGAGGCCAGTGGCCTGCACCTCGAGCAACTCCCAGACGCCGCCACCACCGTCCTGGGACCGTCGCCGGAACACTGCGATCCAGAAACCCGCCGCCGGCTCTACGGCATGGCACGACATCTCAACGTCTGGATCTCCTTCGAGCTTGGACGCACGCGAGTCGTCCTGCACGGGGCGACCTCCCTCTCACCCACCCCGCGACCCACAGACTACACAACAGAGATACTCAACCTCCTCCCCCTCTCAGAGAGTCTCGACCCCAACAAATCCCCTGACACATCGGAGCTCGAAACCGCGCTCTCCAACGTCCTCGACGACATTCACATCCAACCCTCCTTAATCCTCGCTCAATGCAACCTAATGCTCTGCATTTACCGCCGCCTACGAGCCCTCAACTCTATCATCTCCGGGAAACTACTCGACCGCGTACTCAGCCTCGCGGGGAAAGGCCTCCGCGCCACGCGCGACATGGTCGCAGCAATCAGTCCCTGGCATCAGGTCGCTAACGTGCCGTTCCAGATCGTCTGTACGTTGCTGGCGATCGATAATCGGGCCTCGTTGGCGCTGCTGAACGAGGCTATGCGCACTCTTCGTGAGGTCGCCACGGCGTATGATACGGCTGTTATGCGCGAGGCCCATAGCACGGCGTACTTGCTTGTTCTGTTGCATCAGCAACGGAAAGAGGAAGATACTAGGGCGTTGCGTGATGTTCTGAATACTAACTCTTCTTCCTCCGCTGCGGTGCCGCAGTTCTCTGCTCAGACTGCGGAGAATCAGCAGCGTCAGCAACAGCCACTTGCAACGGGGACAACGACAGCTACAGCAACAGGGACAGGCACGGGCACAGGCACAGGAACAACTGAATCCACACATTCCCTAGCCGACTATCCCGGATTCTCATGGCTAAGCGATATCTTAATTGACATCCCTGGTCTACAACAAGTCGATCTGGATAATTTTCTATCGACTGATCTACCGGGCCAGGGACAGGAACAGACACAGACACAGCAGGACCTCGTATGATGTTCGTCTTCTACTTCTTCTTCTACTTCTACTCTGCTCTACTTTCGGGTCAAGTCAACGGAGTGAAACAACACCCTTAAACTACGCGATGCCACGCGATGCCACACTTGCCCGATCTATGATATATATGAATTATGTCTTACGTGTGATATGATTGATGTGCAATGTCTGATATTAACCCCAGCCAACAACTAAGGTCGATCACATATATAACTCACCAAGTTACTACTCCCTTAATAATAAATGCGGTTACTAACTGGAGAGCTAAAAGTTTCTCGAATCTACCAAAGTAGCTACTACTATCAGTCTATTGTGTTATCGGACTCACTCCCCGCTAAGTCCGGGGTCATGTTGGTCTGGATAGTCTAAATCTATTAATAGGCCATGCAGACCAACCCTAAATATCCCACTAGCATGACTGCCCTCAAAAGAACCAATCCGGGCCACCAGACGACCCCGGATTGCAACGAATCGCGAAAAATCCACTTTGCAGAGGAGGCAAATTGAGAAGGTTGCCGGAGAACGCGTAGACGCGTCGAGGGAGTGAATGTGGATGGCCTCCCCTGCCTAATCGGGATGTTAAGGCCTGCTACCCTGGAATATGTATACGCATTGGTAAATACCCATGCAGAAAACAAACAAAACACTCTCGCAAGCAGATAGAACGCTAAATTCAGGCACACACAAAAGCATAATGAAGAAGGCGAGAATCACTGAGCCTTCTTCTGCTGATCAGTCCTGGTAGCCCCCCTCTGTCCAGAAGAAGAGCGAACAACCAGCCCCAACTTCCAAAGTACCCACAGCAAACCCAACGTGATGACAACAACAGTGCCCAACTCAATAGTCCTACCCTGAAAGAACCCGTCCTCCTTCAATTGCAGAACCGGAACATCCAAGTCCTCGACGAGTCGCTGTCTATGATTCTCCTGATGGCTGCCCCTAGGACGAGGCGCGAGCTGATAGAACATCGTCCTGGGACCAAACAAGCCCTCCCAGCCCAGATTCACGCGATCGAATGGGTTCGTTCCCATCTTGGTACCTTCTTCCGTGGTACAGGCCCAGAAGACGACGGGCCAGGGCACTGAAGCCGGTCGGTATCCGGTTTCAGATGGACGCTGGTATCGCAGATGGAGTGGGATGGTTACGTTCCAGTCCCCTTGTTGATCTTGGCTTGGGTCTTGATCTGCTTGCTCCGGGGTGGCTAGCTCGAGTAACCAGTTCGAGCCCCAGCGCGGAACGAACCAGTCCGGGGCTTCGAGGTCTGTTTCGCCCGCCACGGCGCGGAGGGCTTTGAGGTGATGGGAGTTCAGGAAGAGCGGGTCTGTGGTGGCGAGTTGGTACTTATCGCCGAAGATCGTCGACGGTAGCGTCAGATATGTGTGAAGCGCGCAGGTCGCGTCTGCCGGCGCCGGTGGGGGTTCTAAGCCCGAGCGAGGAATGGAGATGGTCATCGTAGGATGTAAGCCTGTAGGGGCGGGAAACGAGACGGAGTATGTCGCCTCGTTGGGGAGTGAATGGTGACGCGAGGGGAATGAGAACAGGGTGGGTTCTGGATAGACAGTTAGCTCAACGAAACGCCTTTTCCCCTCCTGCATGCATCAATGCAGCCGCGAAAGTAGTAACAGTTTAGACATACTCAATTTATCATCCGATCCCACAACTCCCAGCAACCCACCCATCTTGATCTCCTCCGGCTCAACGGCCTTATCGGTGCCCAGGAGCCCAACTTCGAGCTGACCGGCCCCGGCAGCCGGTTTCCGGATCTGTTCCGTCCATCCCCCGTCCGGAGAACGAGACCAGTATCCCGTTAACGTCAGCGCGTGGGAGATACTGTCGTAGTTGATATCGAGCGAGTCCGCGGAGGCCAACGACGCCGCCTGCCGGTGACATTCGGAGGAGGAGCCTGACCCGGCACAGAGGTTCTTCTGAATATAAGAGACGAGATTGCCGAGCGAGGGAAGCAACGCGTGGTATTGGTATGCGGCGGTAGCTGCGAACCGCGTCGAGAGCACCGGGGGGGTGACAAATGAGGTCTGTATCATTGAGTCAGAGCAATTAGTATACAGCCAACAGTAACACTCAACAAGGAAACAAACCTCAGGACTCGAACACTTCAATCCATCATCAAACACCTCTTTTAGCAGTGCACATAACGAGTGTCTATTCCGTGAACCACTCAATCGGTTAGCCATCAACTCAAGTCCGGTAAATAAACACAAATAAACAACTCCCTCAAAGAAAGATACAGATAAAGAAAAACTCACGTCTCCCCTTCTCCCTCCCTCGGCGTCCACAAAACATGTAGTCCGGGTGCTACACGACTCGAGAACGGCGTCACAGCATCGAAGACCTCCTCGCTAGCCCACCGAATATGTAACTGATGCGATTGTTCCAACACATGACGAATCTAGAATCCCATAATCACAAATTAGCATGAATCAATCAATCACTCCACTTCAAAGGGACCAGAAAACAGTACCTTCTCCTCCTCGACTTCATCAACTCCCAGCATGACCCTCTCCTCACGAGCAGCGAGCACCTGGCTCACGGAAAGCGCATCTCGAGATAACACGGCCTGGTCGAGATCGAATGGGGAATCGGGGCGTTGGACGAAGGTGATTCTGCGGCGCATTTTGCTTGGTCTTGCGGTGAGGGAACTTCAATTAATCGAGAAGGATGCAGTGGAATAATGAATGAAGGAGGGATTGATTGGACTGGGTAGGAGGATGGTCTGATTAAGTAGCTACTTGCTCCGTGCTTCGTAGCGGAGCTGAGCTGGCTGGCTGGATTGTTGCGGAGACGAGAGCTGCGGCTTGCGGAGCGGAGGTCATTTGTACATGCGACATTATTGTTGTTGTCACGAGGAGCGATAAGATAAGTCAGATGCTGCGCTAGTCTGCTCTGGGTTTGGCTCGGATTGGCGGGAGCGGTCTGTGCTCAGATTCATTCAGTATTACTATTCAGTGCTCAGTATTCAGTGCTCAAATAAATTAAATACTTTTATTGCCAATACTCTACACAATGGATTATAAATCTCAACACCACATCGTCATCAATGGTCATTGAAAAGATCAGAAATAACAAGAAATAAAGCAAAACACGCCAACCGCTCCTTAAGCAAAACGCCATCAATGCTAATAAAAGGTATAATCCACTAAATTCAGACATATCAATTAGGAAGCACGTCCTTCAGCACATCCTTCTGCTCGATAGTCAAGCTCGTCGGGAATTTGACGTTGACACGAACGATCAGGTCGCCTCGCTCGTTAGGCTTCTTCGATATCGTCATGCCCCAGCCCGGATACCGTTCTTCATGGCCGGGCTGCGTCGGACCTGGCTTAGCGACTCTAATCGACTTGCCGTCGATAGTGCGGACAATCCGCTCCCAGCCCGTGAGGGCCTCCTTGAGGGTGAGGTCGACGGTGGTGATGAGGTTGTCACCGTGTCGTTTGAAGTTGGGGTTTGATTTCTGTCGCAGACCGTCAGTCACTATCCTTTCTCAAAACTCGCTGGATTAGGTTAAGAGATCACCCACCTCTGTAACAATAAGATGCACGTCCTGGCGACCACCTTCTTCTTGATCGCCCACGCCGCGGTACTTGATCTTCGAACCCGTCCGCAGACCGGGCTTGATGTTGGCCTCCAGGGTCACGTCCTGAACGGTTCGCTTGCCACTGGCGTCAAACGCCTTGCTCTTAACCGTGACCTTCTTGGTGGTACCGCGCATCAACTCCTCCAAGGTCAGCGGCAGCTCCTTCTCCATGACGGTGGGCTCAGGCGGAGGGGCACGCCGGGAGGACTGCCCGAAGCCGCTGGGACCACGGCTCGACCGGGAGCTCCGGCCACCGCCGCCGAGCATCGAGAAGATATCATCGTCGTCCATGCCGCCCATGCCGCCCATGCCGCCGCCGCCAGCCTTGGCGAAGTTCCGGAAGATATCGTCGGCGGAGCTGAAGCGGAAGCCAGATCCGCCGCCGCCGGGACCCGTGGAGAAGTGGAAGGTGCGGGCTCCGCCGCCACCGCCGCCAGGCATGCCTCCGAACGAGAACCCTCCGGGCATGCCACCGTCGAACGGACTACCTCCGCCACCGCCAGCGCCACCACCGGGCGACGGGGGGGGACCACCGCGCAGGAGATACTCAAGGCCGAATTGGTCATACACCTTGCGCTTTTCGGGGTCAGAAAGAACTTCATAAGCTTGAGAGACCTCTAGAAATGGAAAGCAGGTTAGCCATCAATGCCATTGCAACAGTCACGAATTGAAAGGGGAATAGAATAACATACCCTTGAATTTCTCCGACGCAGCGGGGTTATCTTTGTTCTTGTCCGGGTGGTACTTCAAGGCCGCCTTCCGGTAGGCCTTTTTAATTTCATCTTGAGACGCTTCGGGTTTGACGCTCAAGGAATCGTAGAGTTTGGTTTCGGCAACCATTGTGTGTTGTGCGAATGATCGTGCGTGCGGGGTGCAGGTTGATTAAAGATGCCGGGTAGTGTAAGTGGCAGAAAGCAAGATCAACGAAACGCTAATTGGAGGAACCCAATGGGTATCAACGCTGGATCCGCAAGTGTATAAGTATGACAGGAGAAGGTGCAGGTCCCAAAGTCACCCGGGGCAGCGAAGGGGGAGAATTCCTGTTAAGACCCGGGTGGTGCAAACAGGGAGTAAGCTGGTTGGAACTCGAATGACGTAGAAGGTTCGCGGGGGTAGGAGGGACCAGGATTCAGGTCGATATCGTGGTATACTATCGTGGATATAAAGTAGGGTATGGCGTGACCGGAGAGGATGGAAAGTTGGTCGATGGGAAAGAGAGAATGCAGGAGAGATGAGAAACGAATCAGCGAAGGAAGAGAAAAAGACGAGAGGGGCGATGGAAGTATGAAAGGGCGGCTTTCTCAGGTGACGCCAGCCAGTCCGGATGGAGCCTGGGAGCCTGGGAGGCTTGGAAGTGTGACGTGTGACGTCGCTTGACCGCCGGCCCAGAGAAGGTTCGAGAAGCTTCGATTCTTTGCGATTGCATCCATCTTGCCTGGCGAATTCACATTTCATCTTCGTCTATACAGGACTCCTTCAGTCTCCGTCTCATCATGATGGACTCTATTCTACGTAATATCAAAAAACCCGATCCTTAGATCAAAAAAGAACATGGAGCAATTCATCGTTTAGCCTCAAAACAAGGCTCGGTTAGTCGCTAATAGAGGGCATAAAAAAATTGGGGAAACACAAAATATTCCTTTCTAGTCAACCGGCAAAGATCTTTAGCTTCTGATCCCAGCCGCCCGTTGCGATAACGCAGCGCATATCAACATTACTCTCCTCGCCGCCCTCCGCTCCACCACCCTCGGTGCCCTGGACGATCTTCGCGACGCCCGGCGCCCATTTCAGGCAGGTGACAAACCGGTCGTGGGCCTCGATCTTCTTCACGCATTTCCCTTGCTGGCTCAAGTCCCAGCATCGCAACGTCTTGTCATCCGCCACCGATAGCAGATACTTCCCCCCGGGGTGGAACACCAGCGCCTGTACCCAGCCGTCATGGCCACTTAACGTCAGGAAGCAGGTCCCGCGAGCATCCCACAGTTTAATCGTTTTATCACGCGATCCAGTCGCCATGAAGTCCCCGCTTGTTGAGGCGCGTTTGCCGAGCCCCGCCAACGGGGCCAGGAATGGGAATGATGCGGCCGGGGCAAACGCACAGCATTCGTTGAAGTTCTCATGGCCGATAAACGTCTGCTTGAGTTCCGGATTGGAGAGGCTCGAAATGTCCCACAGGCGGGCCGTCATGTCATGCGTCGAGAGCAGAAATTTCCCATCATACGACAGACTGATATCCCGCACCCAGCCGGCATGGCCGTTTATCGTCCGCACGCAGAACCCGGTCGTCACGTCCCAGACCCGTATGTCTTCATCTCGGCTGGCACTCAGCAGCAAGTCGCCGGAGGGCATAAATTTCACCGCGCTCACGATATGATCGTGGCCTTGTAATGTCCGGATATTCTTATAATCGTCTGTCGGCTTCCACAGCTTGATCGAGAGGTCGGAACTGCAGGACGCGAGAAGGACGTTATCCCGCCGACCGCCGTAGTCAATATCCCGCACTGCTCGCGTATGGCCCTTCAGCGTGCGCTCCAGCTCGCCCAGCTCCCAATCCCATATCTTAATCGTACAATCATCAGAACCGGAGGCAATCGAAGTGAAGGAGGGATGGAAAGCAACGCAATTTATGTTCTCTCGGTGCGACTCTAGCGAATAGCGGGCGGTGCTGGGCAGCCACGACGACGGGTCTTGTTTGCGGCGTAAACGTGAGGTGGGCGTTGTGTTTTCTAGCTCGGTTCGTAGTTCTCCGTTTATCGACTCCAGCTCCATGATCTGTTCCGAAAGTCGCGATTAGACGTGACGCGGGGTTTTTCCATGCGGGAGGGTAGCACTGGGGTAGGGACTGGACTGGTGGGATCTGGAATGGGCAGAGATATAGAGAGATACCTTTTTTTGTAGCCGTGCAATGCTCGTCCATTTTCTCTCTAACATCCCCTCGTACTTCTTTGCGGTCGTTGTACTAAAGACATCTTCCCCGAAGTTCACCTCTTTTCGCAGGGCCGCCGTGGTATCCGGTAGGTCATTTGCGATTAGGTACGCTATCATAGCCTTGTGACTAGCCCGAAACCATGTTAGCCTAGTCCAGGGAGCCCGGTCGGCGAGGAGAAGATATGGAAGGTCACTCACAGTTCATCGGCTTGTCGGTCGGTCAATGTACGAGCCATGGGAATGTAGGGTGGGGGGGGAATGCCTAGGGGATGATAGACTGCCCATAAAAACTCAGGTAATGCGGCGAGGTGGAAGGAGAAGGATAGCAGTCAGGAAGCACTAGGAAGGGAATGCGACACTTCTTAAGTAATTATCTTCGGCTGGCAACGATCGTTGAAGCATCATCTCTTCAGGACACCAGCAGTTGGGTCAAAACAAACAGCGCGATCAAGGTTATGCCGCCCGCCGCTGGCTGTGGTCGTAGCCATTCCGCTTGCGCCCCTGATTGGCTGCGTCGGCTTTATCCTGTTCCGCCCGCCGACCCGTCTGGGTGCCTGAGGCATCAATGAGCCCTACTTTTTAAGTACTCCGTATTTGAATGTGCACATATGAATGCTCCATATTTACTCTATCTGGAGCTCACCCCTGTTCAACTCAACCCACTACGATATAATCCTCAATCAGTGCCGTCCCGTTGCTCACCCGCTTGATCTGCTCGTCGGTGCATGTGCTCAGCGACAAGATATAGCATGTCGGCGCCGGGCTGGCAGGCACTTCATTGGTGATATTCCATGTCGACGAAGGTCCCTTGCTGGAATAGTCGCGGTTTGCCGCCGTGGATACCTTGCCGGTCGCTATGTCCCGGTTGAACAAGGCCCGGTGGAAGATCTCGTACGCCGTCTGCGGTTGATACGCGGGCACCTCGTGGCCGGCCTGGAAGACGCGGGTGAACGAGAAGTTTCCGTGCTGGCGCACGCGACCGCCAACGTACGTCGCATTGGTCTGGAGCGGCGCGTAGCCGGCCGACCGGAACAGATCGGCGTCGGTATAGTTCACCTGCAGACTGACCTCCTCGCCCCCGTTCCACGGACACGCGTAGTCGCGATCCCCGTAGACCAAAGCGACCTTGATACCGGATTCCAGGACGTAAGCGATGTCCTCCAGATACCCGCGCACGTCCGACCGTGGGTAATCGCCGGTGGCATCAAACCCGTTGTAGACGCTATCGATGGACTCGGTGAAGTTGACGGGGACGCCGAGCGCACCCTGCACCCAGTGCTGGCTCAGGTATCCCAAAAAGGATGACGGTGGGAACGGATCCGGATTCAGGTGTGCGATGTCATAGTAACCGCGTCCAGAGAACAGCTGATACGGTCCTTCCACCTGGTTGGAACAGTAATCGTTGGCGTCCTTGCAGGCGGCATTGACCGTTTTATTGTTCCCGTACATCTTCGGGTCGCCTTCGGTCGCAAGGGAACGACATTTGGTGATCAGGTCCTTGCAGCCACCGGGCTTGCTCCAGGCGTCCATTGCCCTGTCGAAGACGGTCTTGTTGATGGCTTCAATGCCGTACGTATTGTTGAACGCCAACTCGGGGTACCCGGGCGCCTGAACCAGCAGATCAATGCAGCCGTTGATGATTCCCAGCGTGTCCAGGTGAATGTAGTGGGCATCGAAATCGGTGGATATGGATCCGTCGGCAATCTTCTGGTTCTGTTCCTGGAAGAAGGACGTGAAGGACGGACCATACCGACCGCCGTACGACTCGGTCCAAATGCTCACGCGGTCGTCATGGGGCTTGTAGTGAGGAAACTCCGAGAACCAGGTCTGCGCAAAGTGCCACAGCGCTCGGGCAGCATTCTGCGTGGTGTTGGCACTGGCAGACTGGTTCAGACTGGGAAACGTGCCCACGTAGAAGGTGTTGTTCTGCTGGGGGACCTCGCCGTCCGGGAACGGGGAGACGTCCATCTTGCCTGTCAGCCGATTGAGCGTGCCATTGGTGGCCGTGTCGTAACTGAAGCCGACCTGGTTCGGCTGGTCGATGTACAGCATGTTTACGTAGTTGTTCCAGGACCAGGGATTCAGCTCGGTGGAGTTCGAATCGGCATTGACGATACAGGGACCGTTCTCCTGCATCAAGCCGATCATCGATGAACTTCCGGGGCCTCCGTTCATCCAGATGGACAAGGGGGCATTGATGGGGTCATTTCGCGATTCGAAGAACCAGAAAAAGGTGTTTATGGGGTAGTCCTGGTCCAGCGATAGGTCCTCCAACGTGCCTGGGGGCAGATGAACATAGCCGGAGTAAGACTTGACGCCGGGGGTAGTTTCACAGATACCAGGCTACGGATTCATTAACGGTCAATTGAAGTCAATTCCAACAACACAAGCCGATCGTCAGAAAATAGATCGAAATACCTCTTTGTACGAGATTTTAACCCCCTCCTGATGCTTCGACTCGACAACTTTCACACTCTCGGGAGTCGGCGGGAAATACTGACCTGCAACGGCAGCCACCAGGCCAAGAGTGAAGGCAAACGAAGCAGGCGGCATTGAGATGGCTGGAGCTGGAGACACAGTTTGTCTAGACCAGGGAGTCGGGAGGAGCGGGGGCAAATGAAACAGAAGAGGGGAAGGAAGTGCGGCGCCTTTTTAAAGCACGACGGGAATTAGGGCCTCAGCAATCAGCGTCGGACTGCTCCGTCGGTGATAAGCACTGAAAGGCGGAGATTAATCCTTGCTCCTTGCGTGATGGTCGAGTCGATTGGCGGGAAGACCGTCGATCGTTACATCGGATGGGGATCCACTCCACTTGGGGAAGGACCCTGTACTCCGGTGTAGAGAACACTACGGAGTAGAATGGGTGGAAGGAAAAGAAAGAGGTAGAATGGATCGGTGATGGCTTGTGGGCCTTGAGTTATTCGATTGTCACAATTCCGGCTAAATCGGACTTTCTCATCTTTGCCAAGACAACACATACTATAGATTCTGCAGTGGAGTAGGTACGCTGCGTTTGTATCTCTATGGCACAATAAATATAGTTCTGATCATGGATGCCTTGCTTCGCTGGCTTACTTAATGAAGGACCATCAGGCAAGACCAGATCGAACCACCTTCCACATCTATAGCAACAGCACCCAGTGAAAGGAGCAATGGCCATGGAAACAACAACCCAGTCTTATCATCTTATCTACAAGACTAACAGCGATGGACTTCTGTCCGTATCCAATCTCGAATCATTCCATATCAACTACATACTTCATCCATAACTTATCGAACCGTGAAAGACACCCAACCAAACAAAATCCCTCTCTTAACCCATCCTCATCCCATAAACAAAATGAACTACGAGCGTGCCCAAAATCTACGGCACGAGAATCGCTATCTGCTGGCCATCCAGGACCCCTTGCAAGACCGCATACATGACCAACAAACAAGAATCATGGTGCGCCAGCGGGAGTTTCACGACCGAGAGCACCACGCACATACAAACAACCACCCCGGGCCAACGCCGAACGAAAAATACCTACATGACGTGGCTATGAATGGACTTATAAACACGAATCAGAGAAATATTCACCAGTCGCTCAATATCAGGCAACGGAGGGAGCAAATTCGAAGCGAGTTGCGCGCGGCAGGAGTGCCGGACATGCATGACGAGACCAGGTGGTGGTGGTTCTGGCTGACAGTGAGGGTTCAGTCGTTCTGGCTGGCTGACCTTATCATAAGGTTTTGGGTTTGGTTTTGGGGTGATCAGGGGCCGTTCACCCGGTGGATGGTGCTGTATCTTGGTGATCTCCTTTGGGTGTTTCGACATGAAGTGCTTCGTTTTCTTCACTTTGTTTGATGGATCGATGTTGCTTTCTGGGAAGGATGGAGCTGGTAGAAGGTAACGAACATACCGTTGTTGCTTTTTTCTGTTCAACCTGGCTAATCCCTAGATTCAAGAACTATTAACGCCTCTCGATTGAATCTGCAACCTCTGTCCTCATTGATATAGGACCTCGATGTCCATGGCCTCCGGAGTATTACTATGTGGTTGACGGTTGGGTATTTTCTTTCACCAGCCAGAAAGACGTTCCTTTTTTTAATGCATCAACTTTCGCAGTGTACTAAATATCAATTGCCCTTCGAGATTGCAACGCATTGGATTAAATCCAAAAATCAACCGGGCAACTTGCCCGGTCCTATTCAACGGCAGTGTAGTTTAATATAGTATATTCTTCATCATCGTCCCGTCCAACCAAAAAAAAAAAACGAAAGATCCAGGCGCCGAGGTATTCCATGCCAAAGAGAAGTCCCAATCCAATCCCATCAACCCACGCCGATACGCTAACAAAAGAAGAGAAGAGAACCAGAAATAGATACAACAACACAGCGCAACACAACACAAATTATCAGAGAAAAACGACCAGATCAGATGATAGCCATCTTATATAACCATATCATGTCCAAGAGATAGCGCCGAGACCGAGGCCGAAACGATGACAGGTAGTATGACAGGTAGTAAGACAATAGTGGATATGGATAGAATGATAAGTGATGAAGTTGCCAATGGTATATGCATGCGATCGGGATATCAGGTTGTCGTCCTATAGACAGAGAAAAGGTGAATCTCAAGGACGGACGGGATTATTTGTGAGGGTATAGAAGAATGCAATATATACAGAAAGAAGGCGGAGAAAAGGAAGAATGTGCGAGCGACGGAAACGAAGAATTTATTCAGCTTGAGGAGGATGGACGGAGGTGGTAGCTGCAGGAGTAGTAATAGTCTCAGGATTATCCGTGGCGGTCTTGGTGGACTCCGGGGGCGTGTCCTCGTTGGAGTGAACCTCGATGGGATGATCGGTTTTCGACGAGGCGACGTCGGAAATGGAGGCGTCCTTGTTGGTGCTGATCTCGGTGTCGGAGGCATGGTCGGATGAAGAGGCACTGGATATGGAGTGGAAGTCGTCTCGTTCGGGCGGGGCGCGACGGAACCGTCCCGAGGTGTCGGACCGCTTCGACGAGAGGCTGGAGGTATCGTTGTTTGGATGCAGAGGGAGCTCTGTGAGCTCGTCGACCGATGCCAGTCCGGAGGTGGACGCCACGGAGCGTCGGCCATCGGGAGACGAAGGGACGGAGGTGGGTGAGTTTGGCGTCGAGAGAGAGACGGGAGCTCGTTGAGGGTTTCGTGGGGGAAGAGCAGGAGGAGCGCGCTTGGGAATCGTTACGAGTCGGGCGCGGGTGAAGGTGGGAGACTGGCCTCGAAGTTCGGCGGGCACCGTGGGATCTTCCATCGACACCGGCGAGGAGGAGGCGGCGCTGTCACGCTTGGTGATGGTGGCACTGCTGACCTCATGAACCTCGAAATCGTCGTCATCTAGGAGATCCTTGTCATCATCCTCGTGGATGTCCCTGTCGTGGTGATGGAGATTTTGCTCTTTCCTCTGCTCGGGGATGACCGTGTCCCAGCCGTTCTCCTCTGTCTCCCACGGGGTGGACTCGAGACGGTCTGCAAAATCGCGGTTACTCCGGGACGATGCACGGCTGACAGAGGTAGGTGCGGTGGGCGGAGCGACGTCTGTCTGGGTGCCACGATCCATGCTGGCATAGCTCTGCACGCTGGCTCGCCAGCTATTGCGAGGCGAGCTGTCGACGCTGCGTCGGAAGGTAGCAAAGACGGGACTGCTGGGGCTGGGCTTGAAGTCAAAGGCTTCGACACTAGGCCGCGTCCTCGTGCCGGCTTCGCGGATGAAGAGTCCCTCCGCTTCTAGGGCTTTGACGCCGAACGGATCGGGATCATCTGCAGCTGGGATACCGAAGGTATGATCCGCCGGCGTGAGCTCTGCGTCTCCGGGCGTTTCTCCAGGGGGAGGGACCAGACTTTCGTCCACGTCGGTGTCACCTTGAGCGGCCTTGATCGTCTGGATGAGAGTTTTGATGGAAGCAGGCTGGTGTTTCGCCTTGCCTGCAAGGATGTCCGTCACTGATATTCGCTCGCCGAAGAATCTCTCGTTCTCATCGGTCCGCTCTATGATGATGGTTCCATCCACTTGTACACCTGCATAGAGTCCGCGACTCTTCATGTAAGTCCATATGGGAGCCTGACGTTTATGAACCTCCGACTCGAGGACGCCACCCATGCCTACCGGTCCGGCCGCTGCGCTCACTTCTCCTCCCAGTGTGCAGCGCACCTTCTTAAAAGCCTCCAACGCTTCGTAGGTATTGATAACGACCACGCAGTCGTAGATGTCAACACCAGCCAGAAAGCCGACACCCGCCGTATGCAACATGATACCGGAGGGCGGACTCCATTCGCCCGTTTCGGGGATTCGAGCCAGAAGCACGCCACTGCCGCCGGAGCCGCTGAGCCATAAGCCAGTGCGCATGGTCGTGAAGATTGCGAGACCTTTTGCGCGCTGGATGACCTGAGTGGGAATCTTCTTGATCACGCGCTGTTTGCCTTTCGGTCGATCGAGTTTACTGGTCCTTTTGCTTGCGGCGCTATCCGTGCTCTGGCGCCTGACATCCTCCTCGGCATAGAATCCATCCTTGCAGAAGCTGCGTAGAATGCGGGCAGCTTTGTCGCTTTCTTTGTCGAGAGTCATGGGCCAGAAGGCCTCGGCTCCCACCCGATAGGACAACCGGTTTACCGGATCACCTAGCTTATCGAGTTGATGCCATGCCTTGTCGAATCCCTTTTTGGAGGTGCCTTTCGTCTTTTCCCATATGGAAGGCATTGCGACAAACCCAAAAATCCGTCGTCGTGCTCGAGGATCGACAGAGGTGAAATGAAGCAGACAAAAGATTTCTATAGGACCCAAAGGCCCCTCTCAGGCACCGCGGTGAAAGGGCAAACCGCCAGATCTATAACCGGCAGAGTGGAATTGCAGGACGAAGGAAAAGCGACGGGAACAGTAAACATGCGATGGACGGATCTGCACTCGATTGCTCAATGCGAACGTGAGAATGCTGGAGGTGAGACAGAAAACGGTTGCTGACACAGCCGAGGAATGCGCCCCCAAAACACCGCAGGAATGCTCGGGAGAAGGCAGAAGAGAGAAGGAGAAACTGGAGGCTGCAGGGGTAAAAACCGTTAGATTGGATAAGAGGATTTTTCTTTTTTTAAAGAAGGGAAATAAAAAATTAAGGCTACATCGTTGGGCAGAGAAATTATAAGCAGACGATCATCGATCTCTCGCACACCCTCCGTCCGATCCGTGTTCCAGACCCTTCGGGGAATGGGTGGCAATTTAATGAGACCCGAGGGAAATACGCAACGAGACCGAGCCCAACCGTGGGTCAACGGTCAGACCAAGGGAAAAAAGAGAAGAAAAGAAAACCAGCTTACCTTGCCGCGGGTTACTTCGACGACATCAGAGTTTGAACCTCTCGATCCGATGGGGATAGCAAGGCAACAGGGTTTGAGTAAGGTGCAACCTGTAGAGAAGCGGGGAGAGGATCAAGGGGAGAGAGAGAGAACACGATATTTTGGGATAGATTACAAGATGCGAGCGAGGGATTTGGAGTCTATGTACGCCGTCGAGAAGGGGGAGAGAGCACGAGATATAGGAACAAGGCGGGCTACAGAAGCAGAGGGAAAAAAGGAAAAGAAAGAAAAAAAGGCGCCAAGGGAGAACGACGGAGCGATGCAGGATAAGGATATAAGATTTGGGATTTGGAGGGGGAATTAATTAAGCAGATGCATGGCATGCAGGCCGTCAGCTAAAATCCGTTCAAGTGGAGAGCTGAAGGGAATCCGCCACGGCTGGCTCGGAAGAGCATTGTTGGGGAAGGAAATTACTAGTAGTACGGAAGAGGAAGTGGGAGGGAGGAAGACAGGAAGTCGGATGAAGAAAGGGAAAATCAAATGGATAAGAGGGAAAAAGAAAAGAAGCCGCCAAGCAGGTGACGAGTAGTCGGAAAGAGTGGATGGCATCATCGTCGCTGCAGGATTCGACCTGCCATCGTTGACCTCCATACGCCTACTGCCACATGACAAGTCGGTCTAACCATCTGGATAGTCAGATAGAATGATCACTACGGCGTATGGATTATTGAAAATGACTCTTATTCCATTGAAGCAAAAGAAGGCCATTGTTTCGTTCAATGGAAGCCGCCATCCATACTTCGTAGTCATTGATTAGTCTCACTGCCGACGAGTCGATGACGTCGTCACCCGACAGATAAGTTTAATTAATTAATTAATAATGAACGAACTGCGAAGAAATAAAAATAAAACTAAAAATCAAAATCAAATCCACCCGGACTTCTCGCCCTTTTCCCCCTTCTCTCTCTCTCTCCACTTGCCCTGCTTTCCCTCCATCCCACCCGGCAAGATCCATCGGATGCATAACAGATGGGATTCCCCATCTGACACCTCCGATTTCTTCGCGCCCTTTCAGCCCTGGACCCGGTCGGGATTGTCGCCCGTCCTTCCTCTTCCATCCCTTTGTTCCTGACAGGTCACTTTCGAGCTGCTGCTTCGCCTTCGCAGGGATGAACTGGAGCGCGCCCCCTTCCGATCGGGGGTTGTTGAGGGAACTGCCGGCCAGCGTGAGGTTGAATTAATATAACCATTATTCTTCCCTCTTCGCACGAACACGTCCGACTGGGAGGGTTCCTGGCATCTATCGTACAAGCTAACAGCAGCCATGGACCTGGGAGTTTTTTTAACTTCCATATCTTTCCTCTGTGCAACCCTCGGATTTCACACCTGATGCCTGATAAGACTGCAGTTCATGGCCCGGCACGAGGTCAAGATTATCTTGTCCTTCATTCTCCATAGTAAATACCCAATACTCTAGAAACTGGGAACATGTTCACCGTCGGATAGTTGATGTCATTCCATCCTTGGAAATCTCGTCGACTCGGACTAGAAAAATCTAGGCGGGAAATCTCTCTCCACAGTCGATCCGGTCCTCCACCGACTAGCAACGACTAACAGACTAACGACCTAATCTCTGAACTGCCGTGCCCTAATTTCATTTTTACTTTTTCAGGCCGCCTTAATCATCTTCCTCCTCTCCCGACCTTTTTTCATGATGTTTTTGGAATGCGCTCTTTTACCTCTCTTTGGCCGACACGGAACTAGTCCGGCGGATCACTGTCTGGTAATATATTGTCCTGCATCAATCCTTCACGATCCCTGTCCAAACAATATATTATCAGGATCGGATACATCGTCCTGCATGCGTTCCTCGACCATGGCACGAACTAATCCTTGTTCGTTCAGTCGATTCGTCGCAGCTAACGCCATTTGAAACCAAGCCCCTGTTAGACTAGACTTGACTCGACTAGCTCGTCGCTATTTTATCTCTTCGTTCATTAATCTAACTCGTCTGAAGTGCTACTAATTCTGCCCGGTGCCTGGACACCGAACTACACGTACTCACCTTCCGTACCGAGTAGTTCATTCTGTTCCTTTTTTTTTTCTTGCAGTCGACGTCTCACATTCGAATAGTCGATCATGACTGTTGGGATTGTCGAGGGTCGGAGTCGTTCGATCGATCGTATTTTCACGATCAGGTTCGGCTCCCGCCTTAGGGTCAGGGGTATTTTAGTAGTTGAGTCAAAACCACCTAGAAACAACTAAATACGGAGGAACCAGTAGCCACTCACATACCCTCGATCTTCAAAAACCGAAAAGAAAGAGACGGTGTGCATCTAGCCTTCTACATACCCAACAACGTAGCACCGCCACAAAATCTATCGAAATTCCAGCTTCAATCGGGTCAAGCCACCGGTGGCAATGGCAGTGGCAGTAGCCATCTAGGTATCTACTCCATAGAGATCACCCAGATCGAGGAAACGAACTGGCGGTAATGTTTAAATTTTCTGTGCAAGTCCTCGCACGAGAATCTGCTACAACGCCACCATGCTTTGTTATCTCGCTATGGATACTCATGTATGTACGGTGGACGGATCCAGATGTGTGAAGGATATGATGCATCTGTTTTGCTGGGTGCGTTGGATTTTACCTAATACTACTCCATAGTTAGTTAAAATGTTGGTCAGTTGACTAGTTACAAGGATAAGATTTCCGAGCACCTACTGGGTACAGATACTCCGTAGTTATCTCGTCCGCGATCTTTTCTCGGAGCCGGTCCGGACAAATGCACGAATCGGCCAGACGCAGACAGACACGGCCTCACGGGGGTTGGGCTAGTTGCATACACCCCCAGTCCACTGGAGAGGCAAAGTTATATGAGGATGAACGGGGTGCATACCGTAGCGTGACGGCTAGAACTCGTCTTGAATATTCGGCTCTTAGCACCTGACTCGCTCGTACATGTGTACCGGCGTCTTCCCCGGTCCGTTTACAGACTAGACTATACACTCCATCGTGGCTAGTCTGACGCAGACCCCGCGGATGGCGGACATCTATTGTTTAGATATCTAGGAGATTGGTTGGGTTGGGGTTTGTGGAAGCATTTGGGGGTTTGAGGCTGAAGTGTCTACCTTTTTAAAGGAGGGGCATAGTACCTACCTACTGGGCCATGCTGTTGAATCTGACTAGTGTATAGAGTTACGATAGGCTCGGTTCGGAAAGAGTAGTAGAACAGAAAGGAACCAAGGCCTATATCGGTCTAGACTCAAGATCCCACCGGGAAATATAACCACCAAATCACCAAGAAGGGGGTATCCAATACTCCCTCAGCCAATGTTCTTCGGTATCAGCGTCCTTGAACTTTTCCGGACCACCAAGCACCCCATCCTCGACTGTTTGTGCCCAGTTTTCTAACACCTTGTATATTGGTACATCGTGACCATGATTAAACCCAATTCCCTGTCCCTGATAAAGATCCGCGTGAGCACAGGAGCGGTCAATCCCGTCTCCTGCTATGAGTTCGCCTTCGCTCAGACACGCCCACCCGATCGCCCCAGTTTTAGACGGAAGAGTGAGAATACATCCATCCGCGAAAGGGGAGGGGGG